ATTTTATTTATTAAGAGAAACAACTTTCATTTTATTTTACATTTACAACATTTCACATTAATTGATATTTTTATTAAGAGTCACAACCTTTCATCTTGATTGACATTCACTTTCATCTTGATTGACATTCACAACTTTTAGAATTAATTGGGATTTTTTATTAAGGTACACAATTTTTATTTTATTTGACATTCACAATCTTTAGAATTAGTTGTGATTTTTATTAAGAGACAACTTCTCATTTTATTTATTAAGAGACACAATCTTTCAGTTATTTCTTTAAAGAGACACAACTTTTCATTTAATTTTGTATTTTCAACCTTTCACACTAATAGAAATTTTTATTAAGAGTCTCAATTTTTTTTATTTGGCATTCACAGACTTTTAAATTAATCAAGATTATTATAATTAGTAGATTTTTATTATGAGAAGACACAACTCTTATAACTATTTTAAATATTTTTAAATTATTTTTTCTGAGACACAATTGTTTTTATTATGAAAATATGCAACTTTTAAACTAATATATTTCATTTTCAATGAAGAGATATAACCTTTCAAAAATTGTTATGATGAGAAGAGACAATTCTTACAACCTCTTTTAAATACTTTTAAACTATTTTTTATGAGACACAAACTTTTTTTTATAATGAAAAGATAGAAATTTTAAAATAATAGAAATTATTTTATAAAAAGACACAATTCTATTTATAATAAAAAGATGCAACTTTTAAACTAATATATTTCAGTTCTTATGAAAAGATACACAACCTTTAAAACTAATATATTTCAGTTCTTTAAATAGACACAACTTTTCATTTTATTTTGTATTTTCAACCTTTTACACTTATAGACATTTTTATTAAGAGTCTCAATTTTCTTTTTATTCGGCATTCACAGCCTTTGAAATTAATCAAGATTGTTATAATTAGTAGATTTTTATTATGAGAAGACGCAACTCTTATAACCATTTTAAATATTTTTAAATTATTTTTTGTGAGACACAATTATTTTTATAATGAAAAGATGCAACTTTGAAACTAATATGTTTCAGTTCTTATGAAAAGATACAACCTTTCAACAATTGTTTTGTTTTTCATCTAATGGTCCAAATAAAATTTTTATGCAACTTTAAAAATAATAGTTTTTTTTAAATACACAATTATTTTTTTAATGAAAAGATGCAATGTTTAAACTAATATATTTAAGTTTTTTTTTTTATGAAAAGATACAACCTTTCAACAATTGTTATTTTGAGAAGACACAATTCTTATACCCTCTTTTAAATACTTTTAAACTATTTTATCTGAAACATAAACTTTTTTTAATAATGAAAAGATGAAACTTTTAGAATAATAGATAACTTTTTTTTGAAACTAGACAATTCTATTTATAATAAAAAGATGCAACTTTTAAACTAATATAATTCGGTTCTTATGAAAAGATACAACCTTTCAACAACTTTTTTTTTTGAAAATACACAATTATTTTTATAATGAAAGATGCAACTTTTAAACTAATATATTTCAGTTTATTATGAAAAGATATAATTTTTCAACCATTGTTTTGTTTTTCATGCAATTGTCCTAAGAAATGTTTTTTAGACATACGATATTTATGGCATTAACATATTTTTTTTTCAAACAACACATCTTTTTACATGAAAGAGTCATACTTTTTCATATTTGAAGGATTACAATCTTTGGTTATAACTTTTTTTTTTCTTTTATTGGTCTTAATAATTTTTTTATACTTAAATTAAAATTGCTATGAGCAGTTATTTTTTTTTCAAACAACACATCTCTTTAATTTGAAGAGTCATACTTTTCCCTAATTCTTGACTTTTTAAAATTTTTTTGAAGAGTTTCAGTCTCGTGGTTGTAATTATTATGGTTCTATCTAATGGTCTTGAAAATGTATTTGGTTGAGCTTTTTTTTCCTCGCAACTCTTGAAAATATTCATTTTAAAACAAAACACAACTCTTGATAATCTATCAATGTACCTTTTCAGATTACTATAAATAGAATGTTTTACAGTTGCAATTTTTTAAGAAAATTTATGTGTTTTTTTTTCTAATATAGGTATGATTCTTAGTACTCTTGAATATAATGTTTGATTCATTATATAGTTTTAAACGATCTTTAAAAATTTAATGTGGTGTCTGCAAAAATAATTTAATAGGTTTAGTTTCAGCGAAACTAAACTACCATATCCAAACCAATCTGGCCGTAAGAAAACAACCTATTTTTTTTTTTTTTTGTAATCTCTTATTCTTCTTCTGATAAAGTCCATTTTTTTTTTTGTTTTTCTAACCCAGTTTGTATGGAGGTACTGAACGTCATAGATTTAAAAATGTCATTCTTTGCATGTTAATTACAGTGTTTTAAAACATATTATATTATTTAATTAAAAGGTTTAAACTGTTCCATCATTTCAACAAATTTTAAAAGTTTGTCTTCTCATATATAAAAAGATAAAAGAAAATGACTACGACTTTAATATTAAAGTTTACTTAATATTGTTATGCTAAACACATAACATTTAAATTTATACATTTTCAAACATAAATTATACTTTCACTCTTCTATTATATAAGATTATTTTTTAAGTATTGATTTTCGTACAAAATAATTAGTTTATTAAATGATTCAAAATGATTGACTAACAAATGTAAATTATATAAAAATTACTTTTTAAAAAACATCTTTTCTCCCGCGCGTAAACGCGCGGGGTGGTTTCCTAGTAGAAGTAAAAAGGAAAGAATTATAAAGTAGAATAATGTTCAAAAGTCAGTCTCTATCTTGTGAAGTTATTAGTAGAAACATTAGTTTTATTTGTTTTGGAAGAAGACTATCAGAAAAGGACATGCATAAAATGTGTTTTACCCACATGGAATGGTTTGTCGTAAAATCATAAATTATATATTATTTAAATACGAAATTTTAGATTTTTTTTTAAAAAATTTGTAGTATTGAATTAGTGCTCAGAAATTTTAATTCAATTGTTATTAAACGTATTTTAATAATAATAAATTTGTTTACTTTTCTTTTATATTGCAATGTTGCTTTTATTTTCAAAGGCTGTTGCAGGTGTGATCTATGTATATAACTATGTTATCAGATGGTCAAAGTGACAGATAACTTTCCAATGGTTCATCACAGTATAATCTAAGGAACATAGATGATAACTTTGAATCGTGACCAAGATAATGAGAGAGAATTAAAGTTCGTTATCATTTCTATAAAATATATCATTTATAAAATAAAATAATTGTTTTTTTGTTTCTTTTTTCATTATTCTTTTTTTTTCTAAAATATATAAATACAATTATTCTCTACCAAATTTGGGAAGAAAGAATCACTCACTTATTTCTACTATTTATTCTTCTTTATTCTCTTCTTGTATGTTTCCAATCTGACACTAAAGTAAGATATGCCACGTAGGCCAGGATATTCATCCAATAAGAAGTTGTTGTTTTTCCACGTCATCTGAATTACTCTTCGTTTGGGCTTGGATTTCGAAAGTTTTGGGCCTGGTCTTCTATGTCATCTCGGCCTGCTTTTTACGGAGAAGGTGATAGCTGAGACGCAAAACCTAATTTTCACGCCAACCCTAGTTTCGTCGATCTCATTTTCCTCTCCGATTTCGTCTTTCCGGTCCCACTTCCTCCATTATCTTTTCTTCAGATCCGTTTCATCTAATTACTTCACCATTATCTACCTTAATCAATTCTTTCACCATTTTATTCAATGGATTTCTTCATATTCCTCACCATTTCTCTTCCTATAAATCTCTTTTCCTATTTCTTTCTTTCGAATACGTTTGATTAAACTTACATAGATTTTTCTCTCACATATTGGTTCAGAACCTAAAGGTAACCCTCAAGTTTCCGGCGACCGCAAGATCAACAAGAAGACCGCTGCCTCTTCCGCGAATGTGAAACCAAACGAGAAGTCCCCTGCTTCTTCTCCGATTGTTTCATCTGCCATTTCGATGAAATCAACCGCTGCTAGCACTCTCTCCTCCGCCCCTGTCGACCAAGTTATGCTCTTCCGCGATGTTGCTCTCGGTCCACATGAAGCCGATCTCATGTTTCGTCTAATTCATTATTGGGAGGTTCAGAATCCAAAGAACAAAATTTTCATTGGACATGAAATGCTTCTTATCGACAAGAGGTAACAAAATCATTCAAGTAAAATGACACTATTTTCATTGTATAGGGAGGCATCACTTTCTTAGTTCCATCTTTTCTTTTCAAAACACGATCGTCTTTATGATGTATCGTTTTTTTAAGCTTTCACTTTAGTTTTGTTTGGATTAGAAAAAAACATAGTAGAAGAAGGTAAGGATCGACAAAACTTGAGAGAAATTATTATCTATCTAGATTATTAAAATTGACTCTAAAATCGTAATGTATAACTACTTTATCAATGATTTTTATTAGGTTTTTATTAATCGTAAGTTTGAAATGATATAAAAGGGACTGTTATCCAAGGTTTTGTTACAGCAGGACGGGTTGGGACATATAAACTGACTTGCGGTTCTGTTTACAAACTGAGCAAGTTTTTCGGATCAAGAAACAAAGTTCAGTATCGGGTTGATGATCATGTTGCCACTGTTTCATTCTCTTGGAATTCTGAGTTGTCGGTTGTTGTGAATCCTCCGGTTCCGGTTGAAGAAGATAGGTTTAGGTTCCATAGTTACAAGGAGTTTCAGAGCAACTGAGGCGGCATAGGTGGGTAAGCCCTGTTGAACTATTGTTGGTGTTTGTACATAGGTCTTTATGTTATAATAGTAATAATAATGCATTCATGTTTGCGTACTTGAAACATTTTGTCTCAGATTTTGTTGGCCACATGAAGCTGAATGGGCAGGCTCTCACGGATCACACTGTCCTTGATGAAGTTGAAATAGTAGAGAAGTGGCATCTATGTGTTCATGTTCAGAGACATGAGTAAATTTGTCCAGTTTTTAGACGTGTTTTTTTTGTTTGGAATGCTAATTCATTTCTTTAACCCTTATGTAGCGAATCAGTGATGAAACTCTACTTATGGGATCAGGCCGCAGCCGACTTCTGCCAGAAATTCAAGTCCTATGGAAGAACTCCAAGTGTGCTTTTGGTCACCACAGTAAACCCAAACATTTTGGAGGTTAGCATTCCAGCTATGAAATAACATCTTGTCTGATTCACATATATATGAGAGTTAATTAAACAAATATGGTTAGCATTTCACATATATGTGTTCATAATTAAGACTTAGTTGTGGTAAATGAGATGAGACATTGATAGATGTGTTTATATTATTAATCCATTCACGTGTTATGATACATGAAACCCTTGCTCTCTCTTCAATGGCATCATCTCGAGTGTTTATGAATACCGATGTCCAGCCTGCCAAGGATTATCTTGCATGGTAGAAATTTGTGTATTCAATTATATATGCATTCAGCTTCTACTTTGCCATTTCCTGGAACTTCAGATATAACATTATTTTTGCTTCGTCATTTTTCTCAGGTTCGAGTCTAATTCAGATATTGCTAATAAGGTTAATGCAAAGGTTGTCATTAAGCCTGAGGTAGTGACTCTAGAGGAGCTATTCTCCTACATCAAGCTGGAAACTGCTAAGGTACAAGAGTTGTTCTGTTTACAAAATCGTTGTGATATGGTTGAGTATTTATGAGTTGTACTTATTTTTCTTCTTTTTACGATGTAATTGCTTGGTTTGAATGCACAGTAACTATAGATGATGTTGTCCATGGTTCTCCTTGGTATTACATTTCTTGCGGTGGGTATAATAGTAAGGTAATCAAAGGGTCTACCTCTCTGATTTGTACCAATAAGAAGTGTGAGAAAAATGAAGTTACATGCGTTCTTCAGCAAGTGTTGCATACATATTTTCTTTTATTTATTGCCACCCTAATATGTAATCTTTTTTTGTTTGCAGATATCTCGCAAAGATCTCTGTTTATGATAAGAGTGAACAAGCAGTATTTGTGATTCTTGGTGATGTTGGGAAAGAGTTGACTGGGAAGCATGCATCTGAATTACTAGCCAATTACTTTAAGGTAACTTCAAACCTTTATATACATAGGCTCATATTGTTTGAACTCATATTTATTTTCCTTGATTGTAGTCTAATGAAGGCTTAGGAGATGATCATTGCGTGCTTGTACTGCAAGCTTTACTTGATGCAATAGGGCAGACACACATGTTCATTGTCAAGGTGTTGGAGCATAATTTGACAGGCAAGATACAAACCATAACTACCACGAAGATACTCTCACCAGAAGCTCCACATCCTGTAGCAGACTTGGAAGATGAAGCTATTCCACCGACTTCTGGTGATGTTTTGAAGACTGGAAGTGAGGAATCTGATCCTTCCAATGATGTTGAGGATTCTTGTGGTGATGGGATTTGAAAAGCATCTGAGAGTGTTGAAGCAGAAGAAGCTAAACGATCCAAGAGTAATGTAACTCTGACTTATCCTCTTGTGCAGTGATTTTGTGCTGCATTTTAAGTACTGCATTTTCTTTATCTAATGACTTTGTCAAAGACCTTTGTCTATTGGAGACAGTTTATGTTTCTTTGAAAACAACTTTCATTAAAATGTTTATGGTTATCCCTTTAGTATATTTATTTATAACATTATGGTTTTATTAGTCAGTTATCTTCTTGATCACGTTTTGATTGTTATATGATTTTTGATCGTCATTAGATCACAAGAAGCTGTTATGTGAAATAATTATTAGGGAGTAGTCAAATTGCATTTAACACCTAGACCCATAAAAGAAGATTTAACCTTTTCCTGATGAGCTTAGAAGATGTAAACAAATTACAAGTACATAGAAGCCAAAGAATTTGTCCAAATCCAATCATAATCATGGTGGCTGGATAGAGAAATCAGAGACATGACTATATCGTAACACATCATGACAAGATTTTTAGTATTAAATGAGGTGGATAAATTTAGGGAAAACTAATATCTAGAATATCTATAACCAAATAATTACGTAATTATTTAACTGATTCTCACTGGATTGTTTTTACATATTGAGTCTGATTTTACTAACGATTCTACACTTCATAAGCTATGTACTTTTTATATATGCTTAATAGCAAAATTAGAGACATGTTTGCTTATAAATCACAGCACTCCAAATACAATTGTGTAGTATTAAAGTTTAGACAATTTATATATCAGAAAAATCAATTAGATCAAATAAATCATATTTTTTTTATCTTAGTTTAATAAAGCGGTTGGTCGCAAATAAAGACCATCCAATTTAGTTAACATATAAGAAGTTCTATAACCAAAACTGTATAATATTAAGCACCAAGGATTATAGACCCATGTGATTTGACGAACAAAATTCGTATTACAATAATGAACATGTATACTATATGATTATTGTGGGAACCGAAATCCACCTACTGTCAAATAATCGTAATAAGGAAACTTCGGGAAAACCCTAAGTTTCCAGAGGAACCGGCTATCTGCAGAACCGCACGACAAAGATTAAGATAACGATAAACTTAGAATTATTAAAAGAATAAACGAAAATCGAGAGAAAAGAGATTTCCGAATCTGCGTAGAACTGGTACAAAAAGAGTGGCCGAAAAGCCTAAGAACGAAAAAACCTAATTGAGACGCAGCTCGCTAACAGAAAACGGAAATATTCCTAAATGCTAATTTTGGTGGTGAGAGCTCTGAAAATCGTGTCCCTTGCTTCTGCCCTAGACCTCTTATTTATATACTCCTCGCCTTGGCCATTCGGTCTTTCCATTTCGCCCAGATTTGACTATATCGGGAATTTTCCATTTTTCTTGATCCTTCCTTTTGTTCCGGGAAAATCTTCTATTTTTCTTCAAACCTTCCTTTTATTTTCAAACTTGACATTTATTTTCCTTCTGCGAGTAAACCGTCAAAACGTTATCGTATCTTCGGGTTAGATTCCGTTAAGATCGCGAGATGGGTTTTTATTGCGTTTTAGGACCTTCCAGGCCGTTCTGCGATAAATCCGTTTTCCGACTTTGTGCGGGATCATTTCCTGACCTGATGCCGTTTTTAGTAAATTCCTCGAACTAATCGTAAAGTTTTACGATTTAATCGACGTTTTTATTAAAAATGCGCTTTTTACGATTTACTCGACGTTTTTATTAAAAAACACGTTTTTTACGATTTTAACGAGAAATCTCGAATAAATCGTATAGTTTAGGCAATGTTCGGTGTTTCGTTTAACCTTTGCCGTTTTATACGATTTCCTCGAGTTCTTTGTCGAGAAAACAAAGTTTTATGGTTTTTATCGTAAAACTCAAACGATAGGTCGGATCGTGATGGAACGGGAGACATTTCGGCCGTGGTTCAGAATGCGACCGTGTCGAAAGACGTATGTTTCAAATCGGGGATGCGGGAGATCGAGGCTCGGGACATCCAGGAAGTCTCTAGTTCGTCCAACGGCGAACTAGTCATGGGCCTCCTAGTTCGCCCATTGGCGAACTAAGCCAGCTTGGCTTAGTTTGCGTTTTACGGCTGTTTTGGTTTTTTGCGGTTTCGTAAAACGATTCTCGAGTTTTATAAAACGGTTTCTCGAGGTTTATAAAACGATCTTCGAGTTTTATAAAACGATCTTTGAGTTTTATAAAACGGCTTCTTGAGTTTTATAAAACGATCTTTGAGTTTTATAAAACGGCTTCTCGGGTTTTATAAAACGATTCTCAAGTTTTATAAAACGGCTTCTCGAGTTTTATAAAACGATCTTCGAGTTTTATAAAACGATCTTTGAGTTTTATAAAACGTCTTCTTGAGTTTTATAAATCGATCTTTGAGTTCTATAAAACGGCTTCTCGAGTTTTATAAAACGATTCCCGAGTTTTATAAAACGATTCTGCGAGTTTTATAAAACGATTCTCGAGTTTTATAAAACGATTCTGCCAGTTTTATAAAACGGCTTCTCGAGTTTTATAAAACGATTCCCAAGTTTTATAAAACGATTCTGTGAGTTTTATAAAACGATTCTTGAGTTTTATAAAACGATTCTGCGAGTTTTATAAAACGGCTTCTCGAGTTTTATAAAACGGTCTGCGAGTTTTACAAATGACTTCTAGTTTTATAAAACGACTCCTCGGGTTTTATAAAACTATTCCTTTTGTATTTTTGCGGGGAGTTTTGGCTATTGATTCCATCGTACTGATTTTGACCCCAACAGTTAGCCCCCCAGCTCGTAAGAATCGTGTGGTTCTTGCGAGTGGATTGAGCTTGTTTGGCGAGTTTGGTAGAATTAGGCGGAACTTTAATGGCCAAAAGTCCAAGGGTGAATAGTGAAATTCTTCCCTATAAGTATATGGAGTGAGTTTTTCAAGTTTTTCACTCACTCTTCCATAACTTGCCTAAGCTTTAGGAAGGCTTCTCTCTACCTTTTCCTTTGGATCCTTTTTCTTTCGACTATCCAATATGTCTTCCGGACGGAAAGTTTCAGATTATGCTCATGCATCAATCTTTGATCCGAGCGACCTTGATGTTTCCAGCGTCTGTCCTCTTCCCGAGCCGGTCTTTCAACGTTTCTTTATGACCAAGGAAGAGTTTGCAGACTACTATTTAGCCGTGAGCACCGCGGAGGTACCGCCTTCGAATTTCTGGGTTCCGAAGAAAGATAAACCTCGGAAGAAAACAGTTGGCATGAGCACGAGCACTGTTGGTTCTCTCAGATATTTGAGGAATATCTATGCGATCCCTGAGTCGGTTCAGTTTCGCATCCCTGTCCAGGTCAGGGTGCCGAGGATCCGCCTCCGGGTTATTTTACGTGCTACGAAGCCTTTCTGTTGACCTGCCAGCTATGGTTCCCTATTCCTCGAGCCATTTTCGAATTCTTGGATAGGTTTGGAGTACCATTCTGCCAATTACGCCCTAGTGGCTTACAGCACCTTGTCGGGATTCTGGTGTTCGGATACGAACGCGGAATGTCCCTTGATGCGGATTATCTTTCGTCTATGTTGACATTCAAGGGAAGAAATGACGGTTTTTACTTAGCCCCCCGGCGGGACATGACGGTTATTGGCGGGCTTGCCTCGAATGATCACGATTGGATTTACCGATTCTTTTATGTCAAAATCGACAGCGCATGGGTGGAGGAGAGTTGTATTCCTTTGATTAGGGCTGCGTGGGCGACAAACGGTATTCCATTGACGTGATACCCATATCCATATAGATATAGGTTTAACTTTTTCGTTTGTTTCGCAGTGCCTGCCCTCCCGATGCCGATGCTTGAGGATTTTCCGGAGGTTATGAATCTTCTATGTGGCGGTCCACTTCATTGGGGGTATTTTTCTCCGAAAAGGATCCGTCGTGCCGTCGCCTATTATTCGTCCGGTTTTTCTCGTGACGGTCATGCTGATTTTAAGGCGGGCGATGATGCGGAGGAGAGGGAAAGGTCTAGATCTCCGCAGGATAGAGAAGTTCCGATCGATCGCGGTCGGGCATCTGACGAAGATATCAATATCGAAGATCTTATTGAATTCTCGCCCTCCGAATTTGATCCGGCCGAGACGTCATCCCGAGGACCGGCTGAAACACCGTTTGCGAAAGCGTCGAGGCTTTTCAACAAGGTTTGCCTATTCTTTATTATTATGTATATATTTTTTTATGAAGGATGTTTGTTCCGTTTTGCAGGGTCTTCGCTTTATGAGCGAAGCAGTGAGCGCGAATAGTGCGGAACTTCGCAGGGCCGAATCTAGGGTTGCAGCAGCAGAGGCGGAGGCTGTTCGTATCAGAGGGGAGATCGATGCCAGTTTCTCTCGTGCCCAGGATTTGGCTGCAAAGGAGGCCGCTCGTGTGAGAGAAGAGTATGAAGCTGAATCTCGTCGAAGCTTAGAAATTTTTGACACGATGGCTCGCCGTGCTCGTAGGGCAGGTAAAAGAGAGGTTGCTGCGGAGTTGATGGCTCGGTGCGAGCGGTTCGTGCCTCTTTATGCGGAATTTGAAAATGCGCAAAGAGCGAATGGCAATTTCCGCGAGTGTCGGGGCGTAGTTGGGGGTTTGCATCTTACCCAGGAGCCGGACTATTCGTATGAGGCTGCGATTGCGAAGCAGAAGAAGCGTCTAGCTAAGAGAGAGAAGAAGAAGAACGGGTCCGCCAATCCTGGGAAGCATATGTGGGATCAGTGGGACCCTATCGTGGTGTCGCCGGATTCGGTCGAAGTTGGACCTGGGATCCCGGACGTGGATGGCGAGGTTGACCAGTCCGCGTTTGATGACTTTGATGTGTGATGTTCTTAGTTTTTCGATTTTGTTGTTGTTTTTCCGGGACTGGCCGTTGGTGGCTTTGAATCCCTACCGCTGGGCGCTATGTACTTGGATGCTTTTAATAAGAAAATATTTTCTAAGTATGAAATTCGTGTTTTGTGTTAGATGTAGAGGGAAGA